CCCCCCCCCTTCTCCCTTTTCCCTCAGCGCAGGTGGGTCGCAGAAGGAGGTAGACCACTTAAGCTGTGTGTCTAGCACCCTCTCGCCAGAAGCGGCCCGTTTCTCGCGACCTGCGCGATTTATAGGCCGTCTCGACAAGTAGTGCCAGCTGCAGGTGACTTGGCCGACGTGAGCCCGTCCCGACTCAGAGCTAGCTGTTCCAGCCTGAGAGATATTCAATACGGTTCACACGGGACCCAAATCGATTTCCATCCGAAGGAATCTCCCGCTGAAAGTTTGTTTCCTGGAATATTAGTTGGATTTCAGCACGTTTAATAGTACTTAGCTATTATCGTTTTAGAAAATAGTGAATGTAATGAAATGTGTATGTAAGTATAAGTAAGTGGTTACATTGTGCCTTTTTAATACCACGTTGTTCTCTTTTACAGGGGCAGGACTAGGATGACGCGGGTCCCGGCGTCGGGCGTCGCAATCCTTGCGGTCCTAGCGGTGGTTGTAGGTAAGTGCAGGATGCCTGTGGGAGCGAGAGAAAAATAATGTCATTTTTCTGTCTAGATAAAAACGGACAGTAATTTCACGTAAAGGGAAAGTTTTTGTGCACATCCAGACCGGATGCAATTTTGTTCCTAAATCTATGGACAAATTGTCTTTCCTCTTTTGGAACAAAACTGCCCCTTATATTTAGAGTGTTGAAAAGCAACGCGTTACAAAACGCAAACTTATACTAAAATAATCACAAATAAGTATCGAAGTTGTTATCAGAACGTATGCGGGAAATCCGAGCCGCTTGTTGACGGTGGACTCGGAAGACCTCAGCAAAGCGGAATATTGCAAGTTTCCCCGAACCCCCTTGGCGGCCCCCGTCAGTCGAACAAAGTCTTGCCGCCGCGGTGTGTGTGTGTGTGTGCGTGTGCGTGTGGTGTGCACGTGTCTTAGGGGATAGAGGATAGAGCGGTACCCGAGCCCCTCTCCCCCGACGGCCCCTCCGCGCCCCGCTGCCGCGCCTCGCCACGCGGCACCGCCGCTGAGCGCGGTGTCGCACTCCCAGGTGCGTGTAATGACTTCTGGCGTGAGTTATGTGATCCCGGAACAGCGTCCTCCCCCCCCCCATCCCCCCTCATCCCTTACTCAGATCGGGTCGAAGGGGATCTTCCCCTGGGGCGTTATGAGACCCTTGACAAGCCATCGCGGCAATCAGCCATTGTCGTCAATCTACCCGTGCGACGGGCGAGGCGCGGGGCGCGTCTTCTCTGCCTGTCTAAGTTCTTGTCCGTCTGTCTGTTGCACCCTTGATCAGAGGTCCTCGATCATATGTACTCTATTCCAGCCAGGTGAAGGTGAAACTCTGCAACAAAATTGCAATTTAACCTTGTTAATTTACAAGCACTTGGATCGACAAGCAAGAATGGGTTGTCAATTTGCAACATATTTGGAAATAAGAATAACGTCAAATTAACGATGACATTTTTCACAATGTTGTTTTTGTTGTTTCTACTACTCGGTTGGTCAGGTTGTCTGCACTGCACCCTATCTGATTGCAGTCAGAGGGTTGCAGAGCACGCCAACGACTCCACTCGCCTGTGCCCCCCACCCCCTGTTCACACACACACACACACACACACAGCAGCAGCAGCAGCAGCGGCAGGCGTGAGATATATAGGCTTGCTGATGAATGTGAAGTAGTGCGCCACCGAGGCGGCCGGGCCAGTGGTTGGTGGCGGCTTCTGCAGCAGCAGCAGCAGCGGTAGCAGCCGCGGCGGCATAAAAAAAATATGGGTTTGGCTGGCGGTGCTGGCGCTGCTGGCGCTGCCGCCGGCGGCGCGGTGTGCAAGCGAAGCGCGCGGGCGGGGGCGACTCGACGACAGTAGTCAGCGTGTTTTACGACATTTATCTTCCCAGCCGGGCCTCGGCCGGGCCGCAGGCAGACCGTTGTAAAAACGCATGACGTATGAGGCGGGGATGACGCCGCGCCGGCCGCGCGCGCTTCCAATGGACTCGGCGCCACTCTTCGCCACCGCGCCGAGCTACGCCACGCCACCCCTTCCCCGCCGAGGCCCATCGCCTTTTTACTGCGCGCGGAATCGATATTCGCACCGCCGCCACCACATCTGCGATCCCCGCGGTTGTGTGTGTGTGTATGTGTGCGGCGGACGCTAGTGCAGCAATTTTTTTTTTCTTTTCCGCCATACCTTTTCGAAAGAAAGAAACGACGCAGTGGTATACACCCCTTTGTGCCACACAGCAGTGGCGGCAGCAATTACCCCAATCGCGACACTCGGCTCGGCGATCATCCACTCCGGAAGGCGCCCACTTTGTCCCCCTCGACTTGGCGCGAGCGCCGCCGCTCCGGCGTGTCCCTTTGACGGGGAAGGGCGAGATGCGGAGGAGGAGGCAGGAGAGAGAGAGAGAGGGGCGGCGCTCGAGGTAAAATAATTTGCCCGCACCACGTTTCTCAATTCCTCCGGAAGCCGCAAAAGACCTCTCTCCGAGGCGCGGTGGCGGGGTGGGGCGGGGTGGACAGACAGGGGTGCGGCTGGGGGTATGGCTCGGGGGCGGCGCAGCGGCAACACCCCTTGCGTCCGCTTAGGGAGGGGAGGGAGATGCGGTGGGATGTACTTCCCTCCCCCCTCC